GTGCTGTGAACACCCTTGGAGATAGCCCGTGGGGCTGCAGGAGCCACGTCTCCCAAACAGGCCAGATGCAGGAGGCGGCGGCGAGGTTTCCCATGGGCTGGTGACTTCCGCCTGAAATGCCCCTCGACCACGGAACAGACCGCGGCGGGTCCTGGAGGAGTTCAGCTGCTGCAGAGCCAAGCACTGCCCAGAGCTTCAGAACGTTCTGGAACTAGGGTATTTATTTCAGGTCATGTTCTTTTTAAGATGTATCATGGGAGAAAACAGTCCCTGAGGTGCTGGGTCCAGGGCTGAGCGGACTCGTCTGACCCCAGTAGGGCAGAGGAGCTCCCTGGGCTGGGGGGCACTTGAGAATTTCAAGCGAAGCAGCCAGGTGTCCTGCAGCGCTGACTGGGAGCTGGGGACCGTGGGATGTGGGGCTGGGTGCTCAGTGGGCATGGGGTGCTGGCCAGGGGCGGGGGCTAAACAGGGTACTACCTGCTCCCGTTCCCCAGCCGGGGAAGCCCAGGCCAGATGGGCTTGGCCAGCGTTTGTGCCAGGTGCACTGCCCGCTGGCACCCCCCAGGGAGCAAGCTTCTCCCCGTGCTCAGTGTCCAGGGTGGGTAGGATGGAGCTGCGGGAGTGGCCCTGCTCCTGAGAGTGCACCTGCCCTGTGGGTTTGTGTGTTCAGAGCTGAGAGGGGGTCCCTGCTCTGGCTGGAGGAATCCCCAGGAAGCAGGCCTGGCCATGGGGCGCAGGATTAGATTTAATAATGCAGGAAGGCCACTGCCAGATGGGGTTAGGGAGCCCAGCGCTGATCCCTGTCTGGTTTTGAAGAGATGAGAGGATCAGATGGGGGCTTGGGGCTCAGGTGGTGTGAGCAGCCCCCACAGCCCAAGCTGTCCTTCATGTCCTCGGCACCACGTGCAGATGGTGCTTGCTGTGGAAGCCCACCCTCGTGGCCCTTGGCCCCACCAAGGCACACCAGGGCATGAAGCTGACCAGCCCCCGGCTGCGGCTGTGGCACCAGACCCGCCTCTGGGGAAGGCACTGTGTTGGGGTTCTCGCCTTGGCCCCCAAGCTTGGTTCAAAAACCAGATCTGACCTCCAGCAAGCTCTCTGGGGCTTCCCAGGAAGCAGCCCAACCGTCCTGCTGCCCGCTGAGGGCCCGGCCCTGTTCCCCACCCTCTGTCCAGGAGCCCCAGAGCCACCCTTCCAGCCCTGGGGTCCTTCCCCGTCAGCTGCACGTGGGGCATTTGGCAGAGGCCACTGTTCAGAGCAGGGCCGCAGGAGTCCTGAGGGCAGGGCCAGAGCTCAGTGTTGACCCCCAGCCAGAGCGGCCCTGTTCCCACTCCCTGAAGCCATGACCAGCAGCTGTGGTCAGCCAGAGGAGGTGCTCTGTAAACACCTGAGGGAGGGGCAGTGGAGTTACTGGGGTCCTGCTCCGTCTGTTCTGTCTTTGGGTTTGGCCCCAAGTGTCCTTAGCTGTCCTTTCTTCAGGTTTTTGTCCTCTGGGTGCACTGAGACTGATTGTCCTGTGCAGACATGGCCACAGCAGCTGGGACGGAGGCCGACTTTGGAGAGAGGCCATCGAGAGGGTGGGGGTGCTGAGGAAGCCTGGGGGTGTCCTGTGGTGGGCTGCTCTGGGAGGGGCTGCTGCTGGCCCCCAGGGGGTTCAGCACTGTGCATCCCAGCGCCCAGTGCTGAGCGAGGTGGACCTAGGCCGAGAGAGTGGTCAGTTTCCTGTGAGGCGGGTTTGCATTGAGCCTTGAGGGCTGCTGGACCTGGTGTGTGGGGAGGGCGGGCTCGGGCAGAGCAGGGGGGGCTGTGGAGACTGCCGGGAGGCTGGCAGGGCCCCTATCCCCTGTCTTGAAGCTGTCCCCCACCGAGCCCTCCCGTCCCCAGGGGATCTTTCCCGCCACCATGGCCCGCCTTTGTTTGGCGGTGGCAGGAATTAATTGGATTTGGAGCTCCACTCAAGGGGCTTTGTGGCCCCAAAGATTGGAGCTGGGAGAGAAGTGGCCGAGGCTTCTTCTGACTCCAGCTGTTATCTCAGGGGTAGGGAAGCCAAGGACAGGACAGGACAGGACAGGAGGGCTGAGCCCAGACGCTGAAGGGGGAGAGCAGGGAGAGGGGAGGATCCTGCCTGCACCATCGCCAGCAGAGCAGAGACCACGGACGTGAAATTCCCCTCGAGTCTTGTCTAAGGGGGTGCAGAGCGGTCTGTCAGGAAACGAGACGCTGTGTCGGCACGGCTTGAAGGCCCCCCTGAGCCTTGTTGGGCAGTGGAAGGTGGCTCCCGAGGACAGGGCTGGGATGACGGGAAGCTCCGCTCTGGGTCTTGCTGGGTGCAGAACATCCTTCCAGTCCTGCTCCTCTTCACGGCAGCTCCAGAGAGGGTGCCACAGTCTCCATTTTCCAGGGGAAGCAGTCAGAGAAGTTAAGTGTCTAATCTGAGCTCACACAGCGGGTAGAGAACCTCACCTAGCCTGAAGCCTCTCTTGTGCTCCCTGCCTCCGGCTCAGCCCACCTGGGCGGGCAGGCAGGTCTCACTCGAAGGCTGAGTCTGGGAGAGGGAGCCCTGGGTGCCACCGCTGGCTGCAGCATGGGATGCCTGCTGGGGCCTCGCAGGGCCTGTGCCGTCCCACGGAGCCAGCTGCTCCCTTCGACCACATAGCAGGTGGCTTCCAGAAGTGGGTCTCCGAGTGGCTGCCTGCGCCCATCCTGCTCTTCAGGGATAGTGGCTGCACTGTCTCCTCAAATCTCTGGCCCACCCTCCTGTGTTGGTGTTTGAACCAGATGCAGTCCTCGCAGCGCAGTGGGAGGTGTGCACCCCCCACCTGCCCCTGCCACCCCGCCCAGCGCTCCTGTCCCTCTCTCTGCACTCTCATGCACCACGCTCCTAGGAGAGGAGTGGGTTCTGAGGTTCTCCAGGTGCAGGTAAAACTCGTCCTACAGTAAGCGAGAATTTTGGTAATTTTTCCTTATTATGGCGAGAAGCGTGTGGAAAGTGTGGCAGAACGCAGCGTGGTCCCCTATAACCACACACAGCTTTGTTTTCATACATTAGGAAGAAATTTTTAAAAAGCTGAAAAGAGTAGAAATGGCTGAGGTGATGACTGGGGGCTGAGGGTCTTCTCAGCGAGGGTGGCAGGAAGGGGACAGCCTGCGCTGGTGGACGAGGAACTCGCGCTTTGGCTCTGGGGCGGCTGCTCCGCCCTAGCCTGGCCAGCTTTGACTGTGCTCTGCGGCCGTCGCTGTGTGCTGTTGTAGCGGTCGGGCCACCAGCTCCTGGCTCCTCAGCCCAGGCTCCTCCACCCCGGCCCTGTGGACCCCGCTGTGCGGGGTCTGGGCCTTGTGGGGAGAAAGGGGTCTTACAGGGTTTCCTGGCTGCCAGAGGGCTGAGGCAACAGGAAGCCTCCTGCTGGTGGCCTGGGCATGGTGGTGTCCGGCTCTGCCCTGGGTCTGATGGCACCAAGCCCTGGGTGCTTCCTTCATCCTGAGGGAGGAAGCTGGGCAGGGGAGGTGGAGCCCACCAGGCAGGGGCCAAGCCGGACCCCACTGCCACCAAGCCACGGGGTGGGGGACAAGGACAGTGGCCTGGAGGATCTGTCCTGGTGACCTCAGACCTAGGCCAGGTGCAAGCAGGTCTGTGACAGGGCAGGCTGGACCAACCTTCAGCCCCAGCCCAGTGGGCCCTGCACAGTTCTCCTTGCCGGCGGGGCCTCCAGGAGGTGCTGTCCATCCTTGCCAGTCCCGTGCTGGGCAAATGTCAGCTCGACCCCAGGCAGGAAGAAGTCCCTGCTGGTACCTGGGTGGGTCAGCTCCCGTGGGCTCCCAAGTTCCCAGGCAGCAGCTTTCCGGGGAGCTCAGAGGCTGTGCCTGGGGCTGCAGAGAGACGTTTGGTTTGATTAAAGGGGCATTTCTGCTCCTCCAGAGAGGGGCCGACTGACCTGTCCTGAAGGAGCTGCGGCCTCCGCCTCCTGGCCTCCACCTCCTGGCCTCCGCCTGTGCCCGCTGTCCCCTGTGGCCTATTCCTGGCTGCTGTGGGAGGTGGGGCCTGCCCAGCTTGTGCAGAGGACTGAGAGCAGGGCGGTGCCTAGGGTTGCCCAGAGGAGCCGCGGCCTCCCTTCCCCCTTCTCGGCCCTGTGGCTGGTCTGGGTGACATTGACACAGGCTGAAGAAGAACAGTTATAGGCATGTGCATGGGAGCCCTGTAAACATGTGGGACTCAGAGAAGGGCCTGGTGACGTAGCATGTAGGCCACCCTGAGCTTCAGAAGTGGGGGGCCGGTGGGCCTGGAGGGCCAGTGGGCCTCGAGCTGCTCTTCTCCGTGCAGCCCCTCGCTGATGGGACTCTCCTCCCGAGCTGGCGTTCCTGTCCCCGAGGGAGTGCACAGTTCACCTGGGGAGTGGGGAGCTCCCCCCCCTCGGCTGGTTCTCAGTTTCTTTTAGCTCAGAGTGGTCAGTAGGCCAGAGCACGTTCTGGGCTGGTGTTCTCAACCCCGGCCCCAAGGGCTGTGGCTCCTGCCCTGGGTGAGGACCCTTGCTCCTGCAGGTGGCCGGTGCCTGGAGTGGCCTTTTCAGCCGGACATGGGATGTGGCTATGCAGATGTCTCCCAGGAGCCCTGGGGAGGGTGTTGGTGAGAGCCACCATCCTCAGGCTCTGCAGAGGTGGCAGGCAACACCCCTGACCTTCCTTCTGTGTCCTGTCCTGGGTGACCTGGGCTGGCCGCCTGCCCACCCTGCGTCACACCATGAGGTGCCCAGGAAGTCCCACACCCAGTTTCACGGACCTCCAGGAGTGTGAGGGCAGCATGGGGACAGGGTTGGCCCAGCCACCCACTGGCAGCAGGATGCTGGGGGTCAGCGGGGGAGGCCATCCGCACCCCAGGGCTCCGCCCTCAGCACCCCCATCAGCACCCCAGCGGTTGCTGTGTCTACAGCACCAGGCCGCAGTGTGGTCTTTCAGGGGACAGGGCCCGAGAGAGCTGTGTCCTCATCCTTACCTTCTCTCCGCAGGCCTTTCCCCTCCGAGGAGACTGCAGAGAGTGACGATGACGTCTACCGCAGCCTGGAGGAGCTGGCTGAGTAAGGGGGCAGGGAGGGAGGCCTGGTGTCTAGGAGCGGGCCCTGGGCTGGCCTGCCTGGTGTGGTGGCTGAGCAGGCCTGCCTCCTGCCTGAGCAGGCTGTGGCCATCTGGGGGCTCTGAGGGATGGGCGGCCCTAACTCGCGCAGCCTGCCTTCTAGAAGGCCACCGTCCTGTCCAGAGTCTGGCCTGGGTGTTGGCGCAGGGGTGCAGTGGGCCTCCTCCCAGGTCTTCTCCTGTGAGACTCCGGGGAGCTGGTGGCCGTGGGCCTCCTGTGGCCCCAGGCTTGCTGGGGCACCTGGCGTGGTGCCTTCAGAGCACGGGCAGGGGCAGGAGGTCTGCAGCTCATGGTCTCCAGGTGGGCAGGCAGAGCCGGTGGAGCTGTGTCCCCGTTCCTTGGTGGCCCGTGTTGGCTTCAGCCCTCTCTCTGGGGGATTTCTTTCCTCCTCCCACACACAGCCCAAGCCTGGCCTTTCCCCCCAGGGACGGTGGATGGAATCCCTGCAGGGCGCACCATGGCCAGGGTGAGGTCTTCTGGCTGCTCCCAGGGGCCCTGCTGCGCAGGGCAGTGCAGCGGTGTGGAGGAGGCGGGAGCTGTGTCCTGCAGGGGGACTGAGGCTGGGAGGTGCAGGACTCCCGCCCAGGTTGTCACTGGTGGCTCCCAGCCCCTGTGCCCACTGTCCTCCCAGGCCTGGGCTTCCTGGCCGCCGTGGTCCCATCTGTCCACAGTGCAATGGCACCTTTCTTGTGTTGGAGAGACTGCCCGTGCCTCCTGGGCCGACCTGCTCCTCCTCCCCCCTCAGCATAGGCTGGCAAGGAGGCTCCTACCATGACTAAGAGCCAGCACTCAGGGGGCACCTGCTGTGGCAGAGGCTCTGCTGGGGACTTGGTGCCTCTTTGCCTCACATAGCAGGTGGTGTTTGCACTCTGTCACCCCAGATTCAGCAAGTTGTGCCCGCAGGCCACCCAATGTTCTGTGAAGATATCCCTCCCGCCCTGGGCGGGCTAGAGAGATTGGGGGTCCTAGAGTGAGGGGTGCTGCCTGCCATGGCAGGAGGGACTCTGCAGGGGCCTGGGACCTGTCCTCTGCTGGTCTGTGGCTGCCTTTCTTACTGAGCCCAGGTTGGGCCCCTCCCCAGCATTCTCCCCCTTGGGAAACCTTCTCATCTGCCAAGTCTGGGCCTGGATGGCTCCCACTCTGGAAGCCTCATGCGCCCCATCCTGGATGGACTCACTGCCCATAGGGCATGCATACCCCCGATGGCCCCAGGTGTCCTGGGGTCACAGAGTGATTAGCTGTCTAAATGTCTCCTGTGGGTCTGAAGTTTCCTGAGGTTGGATTCTGGGCCATCTTCAGGCACACCCCAGGCCCTGGCACTGGCCCCATGCCCGTGGTCTGACATCGACACCCACTTGGCGACTCTGGTGACAGGAGGGTGCCTGGAGCCTCTGGGGCACACAGGCTGCAATTCCATCTGTGCAAATATTGTCCCTGTTTAGGGGATACCCCCACTGGTCCATGTCTCTCAGCTAGTGAGTGGCAGAAGCACAGCTTGACCCCGTCTGTGCCCTGACCTCTCCACCAGACAGGCCTGGGCGCCCCGGCCATGCTGAGGGCCAGCTCTGATTTGCTGTGTTTCCTGTCTCCAGTCTGAGCCGGGGGTCGGTAGCTCCCAGAAACATCCCTCAGTGGTTGCACAGATGAGGGCCCTGGAGGACAGGGACCTGTGGGCCTTGGAGAGCCAAGTCTTGGCATGGATTGTTTCCTAGGTAGGAGCCTCAGGCAGGTGAATCCCCAGCACAGGGCCTCAAATGCAGCAGGGCTCCATAAATGCTGGCTCTTTCTCGTGTTGAACAGGGTGCGCTCCCCGAAACTGTCACACCAAGGTGGCCAGACCTGCCCCTCCGCCCCGGCCAGCCAGCCCCTTGCCTTGCGGCCTGTAGCCCACCTCTGGCTTCAAGGCTGCAGCGAGTACAATCTGTCCACAGGCCCTGGTGCCAACTGCCCCCTTTCTCTGCCCTTCCTGGTGGCGACTGTGCCCTTGACCCGAAGCAGGATGGAATTGCTCACGCAAGTCAGGGACGGAAGGCTTGCCCCGTCCAGGGATACCCTATGACGCTCAGAGTGCACTTTAATCCTTACGACCGTGGCTATGACAGACTGACCCGTGAGTCACAGGGAAGGGATGAGTCTGATCTTTAACTTGCAGCTTGGTCCCAGCGGCTTGTGTTTAATAAATTTTTCATGTTATTTTTTTTTTCTTCTCCATTCACTGAAAAGCAGGATTTCCTAGCATCCTGTCTCTGAGGACTTAGCGTTGACATTTAGCCATTATACAAACTGCTGTGCTATTTCTTACCTGTGGAGTGTGGAGGCAGGAGGTGGGCGTGGCCTAATCGAAGCTCCTGGTTGGTGGGAGGGAGCCAGGGGCTTTGGGGCAGAACAGCCATGTCAGCAACACTGTGCCTGTCCACAGGACCCTCCAGCCACCCGGACCCCAGACGCTGCGGCCATGGGGGACGTCACACACTGACTCTCCTGGCACCCCATGTGGCCTAGGAGACCAGTGAGGGACTGTCACCTGCTTTCTTTCAGTTGTCACCTGGTTACTAGGTGCATCAGTCGGCCTGGGACCAGGAGCTGGAACATGAAACATAAGACAGGGATCTACCCCCAGAGACTCCTCTGTCCACTCGGGTGGTTTTGGACAGGGTGGTGGGAATGATGGGGCAGTACAGGCCACCTCTGCCTCCTGGCACGGGGCTCTGGGTCTCCACGTGGGGCCCACTCCAAACCCACCTTTAGGAGGCTTGCACAACCCCCATGTAGGGCCAGTTGGAAGGTATGCCCCAGTCACAGTAAGATCTCTGTCCACCCTCCTGAGGTAGTTCCTGGCTGGTCCTGGGAGGGTCTGTCCACCTTAGCCTCAGCTCTCCTATTCCTGCTCATGTGGTCTTCCTGAAGCCTTAGTCTTCTCCTGTGTGACACAGGAGTCGGGACCTGCTCTGTGGGACTGCTGAGAAGATGGGCAGGTCTGGGGTGGGGTACCCAGAGCTTCTCGGGCTTGTGAGTGTCCAGGGGGCCTGCAGCCTGCTCTGTTGATGGAGCAGGTGACTGTCCAGCTTCTGAGCGGCTGTGGCAGCACTGTGCCATGGGGACCATCTCAGGCCACGCCCACGACTGAGGACTTCCTAGGAGCCACACGGCAGCAGAGGTCGTGGAAGTCACTGTAGGGCTGTTCTGTTTGCTGACAGAAGCAGAGTGGCCCCAGCTGAACCCAGCCTTGGGACGCTCGTCAGCACAGACACCTTCTCCCCTCGCCACACCAAGTCCCTAATCTGGCCAGTTCCACCCCACTCACTGTCCTATGAACTGGACACCAGCAGGGCTCTTGGCCATCTGGACAGGCAGTGCCAGTCCCTGATCCACAGTCTCCTTCTGGGAGCCAGGGACTGAGGTGGCTTTCCCAAGTACCCTGAGCTGGCTCTTGAGACGGCCGAGGTGTATGATCAGGTGGTGAGAGCGGCCGGCTGGAGAGGTCAACACTGAGTAGTGCTGCTCACATGGCTGTGCCACGCACCGTGCCTGGAGGAGCCCGCTTTCCGGTGGCTTGGACAGTACCATGCATTTGCAATGTGGCTGGTCCCACTTCTCAGGCCCGCCCTGGACCCTGGCTGCCACACCTGCAGGCAGGTCTCCACGGAAGGCCGATAGGCCTGCCTGGGATGGTATTGCGGGAACAGCAAGGGGCTGGGGTCACCAGCCTGAAGCCTGAAGTCCTCTCAGGAGAGTGGACAGAGGGTCTCAGAACCTGCAGGAATGTTCCAAAGAGCAGGGACAGCCGTGCAGCAGGAGCAGCAGCCACAGAAGGCAGGGCAGGACCTGGTGCCCACAGGGGTGTGGACAGGCTGTGAGGACACTGACCCTCTGGGTCTGAGGAGTGCCTTGGGGTCACTCTGGGTGAAGTTCAGCCCATTGGGGTAGCTGCCTGCTTCATCCTGTGTGGTGGGGTGGGGACAGGTGGCTGGCACGGCAGAGAGCCTGCCCCCAGTGGCGTGCTGGTGAGTGTCCAACGTCCAGCTGCGCAGGGTGGCTGGGTGGGGCACCCTGATGGCTGCCCCTGCCCCTCTGCCTGGTGTGAGTACCCTCACTGTGACCGGCCTCTCGGCTCTGGGGACGGAGGTCCTCCCTCAGCCTCTGCCCCTCCTCTCCGGTGCCTCTTCACGGGGCTCTTGGGCCTCTGTGCAGGCTGGGTCTCCCCGGGCTCTGCGAGGGTAGCTTTCAGGTGTGGGCCTGAGCGGTTTGGAGCCTGGAGTTGGGCAGGTGTCTTGTGCAACATCAGAACAGGTGGCCAGGAGCTCGCAGCTTCCTGCCTCTGGCCCTGTGATGGCCTGCCAGGCAGTTCTGCCTGGGGCTGGCCAGGTGCCGCTGGGCGGGTCACAGCCCGCTTCCCTGTTGCAGGATCTGGGCCAGGTGCTGCCCCTCGAGGGTGGCGACATTGCAGGGTGTTGCTTGGCCTGCTGCCACAGGACAAGAGATTGACACCTGGACCTGCCACATGCTCCAGGGACCCACTCATCCCTCTGAGAGCACAGGCTTGTCCCCGGGACCTGCTGGCTCAGCTCTGACCCCACGGTCCTTGGAGTAGAAGTGGTTTCCCGCTCGGGTGTGGTCTGGACCTGCACTTTACTGCATCCTGAAGGACTCGGTGGCTTTCAGTGTGTCATGTCAGCGTTGTTGGGAGAATTTCCTAAGGTGCCGAAGTGGTGTTTCTGGTGCGGAGGAGGTCTAGGGACCTCCGACCCTGGTGGGGTTGGGGCACCCACGTGGGCTGGGGCTGCAGGAGAGCAGGGGACCTGCGTCTTCTCCTGACCCTGGCCCCAGGGCCTCCCTCAGCCACTCTGTGCAGAGCCTTTGATCAGCAGGAAAGACGGTGAAGAACGCCCCTGCGGGGACCCTGGCCAGGCGGGAGCCCTCCCCACCCTGCCCGCAGCCCGCACTCTGCCCACTGCAACACAGAGCTAGCTGAAGCCGCCTCCCCAGCCCACAAGGGCTCACTTGCACTGGGGGAGGCCTGTGTACATGTGGGGTGCCCCCAGTGCCACCCGGCTCAGGCAGAAGAGAGGCCCTGGGGGGCATCTCACGGTCACCTCTTCCAGAGGGGGTGGGTTTGGAAAGACGCTCCAGGGAAATAGCCCTTATGGACGGACCACACTCCAGCCTTGTTGACAGCCCCTGCCCCTGTTCCTGGGAGGAATGCTTGTTGCCCACCAGTAAGAGGAGGCTGGAGGCCAGGCTCTCCTGAGGTGGGGGTGTGGACCCTGGCCAGGTCCCCTGCTGACCAGGGCAGGAGTGGGCTGGAGAGGAGCCCAGGGTGCAGGCAGGACACAGGGCCACAGCACTGTGAGGACAGGGAGGCAGTGGTCTCATGCCTGAGGGCCTGGCCTGGACAGGTGATGGCTAGGGGCAGAAGGGCCTTGACCAGGGCACCTACAGCTGACCTCGAGCAGTGTCTGCCAGCAGGGTCTCCCCCACCCTGTGCCTTAGTACAGTATACTTGGAGCGTGTGTGCCCCCCGAGCTGGGCCTTCTTTGGTGGCACACAGTTCCCTGAACACAATGGAGGGCCTGTGTCATGGAGACTGGCCAAATGGAACCCAAGAGCCAGTGTCCATGGAGCCCGCCTTACCAGACATTTCTCACCTTACCACCTTGGTTCAGCGCAGAGGGCCCAGAGCCTTTCCACTGCCCGGGAAGGAGGTGGGGCTCCGAGGGGGGAAGACTCCTGCCCAAGGTCACACAGCCAATGAGGGAGAGCTACAGTTTGAACCCAGGCCTGTCCAACCCAGAAGGCCCTTGCCTGACCACTCCTGCCAGCCCCGGGAGCTCAGAGCTGGGCACAGGTCAGCACCCGTCACAGACCTGGGGCCTGTGCTCGTCAGTTATCCCTGTGTTTCTCACCCCCAAAGGGCTTCCACCTCTCACGTGGGTCAGTCAGGCAGTGTCCACTGGCCACACACCTCACAGAGCTGCGGCGGGAGGCTTCCTGGAGGAGGTGTGGGTTGGAGTGCCTTTTGAAGGGGTGCAGGATCTGCCTGGGTGTAATTTAGAGAAGCCGCCCTCCCGCTGCCCAGCTGGTCATGGCACGTGATGGGCTGAGGTCCTGGGAGTCTGTTACTCAGTAGTGGAGGCCAATGGTCCTGGCCCAGGGTAACCCATGTGCACAGCCCAGCCCCAGTTGCTGGCCTGGTCCACTTGCCTGCTGTCGAGAGGGGATGCAGGCAGGAGAGGCAGGGGCTTCCCATCTATGCCTGTGCTGTCAACAAGCCCATTAGTGCTTCTGTCCCTCTGTGGTCCTCGGAGCCATTGGCCACTGCTGGTGGGACTGACAGCTCTGCTCTCTGCGCCCTGTCCTGCCCTCAGGACGTCTCCTGGACCCCTCGGTACAGCAGGACCACGGTGGGCCTCTGTGGATCTGGGGCTTCCGTGACCTTGAAACCGTGCTCCCGCTGGGCACCGCAGGGAGGCCGCTGGTCCAGGCCCCTGGGGGAGTGCCCTCAGGTGCAGGTGAGCCCGCTGTCAGCCCTGCCTGGCTGGCCCTCAGAGTCAGTGGCAGCGGCTGGCCAGTCTCCATGGACTTCCACTTTGAATGCCTCGTTAGGGGCTGTCAGGAGAGGTCACAGCAGTCCTCTCCTCATTCTGCCATCTCTGCAGGGCTGGGCGCTGCCTGGAGGAGTTCTAAAGTCCCCTGCAGGGAGCAGGGAGCAGCTGGCTGTGGCTGGAGGGACATTTCTGTGCTTTCTAATTTGGCCCCCGCCTCGCCCCTGGACCCTGGAAGCCCCAGGAGGACAAAGCCTCGGCCTTGGCGCCTCCCCCCATTCAACACTGAGGCGGCACACGGGGGGCACCTGGGATTGTGGCTTAGAAGGGACGTGGCACACTGGGCCCTGAGTGGCCTGCTGTAGGACCGCCACACTCCTCCATCCTACGGCACCCAGCCTGCCTGCTCCAGAGGCCGTCCCCAGGCCTGCCAGTGGATGACGGGCACCCGCCCAGAAGGTTCCCAGCACACCAGGATGGCCTCTGATGTGAGGAACACACAGGGCAGACTACTCGACCTGGGCCTGGTAGCAAGGGGAGTGGCAAGGGTGCTGGCAGGGTGCTGCCAACATTCACGATTCTTACACCGAAGGCCCCGAGTGCCTCACAACAGGTGATCTGGCCCCCAGTTGTAGTTGAGGAAATGAAGGCTCAGAGAAGGGAAGTGACTTTCTGGAGGTAGCACAGCGTGCTTCATGGGACAAAGGAGGAACTGAAACCCTGAGCCCTCTGCTGTGGTGGCCACGATGTCCCCTGGGCCCAGTTCCTGGGACATCCTTGCATTCTTCTTGGTTCCTGGGTGTTTTTAGATGGTGGTCTAAATTTATACCTGCTGAGAGGGAATTCCCAGAGGAGGGAGGTGTGGTGTGTGCACGGCCCTTGGAATAGCTTCCTCAGGGACCCTGGTGTCCTGTCTAGCTGAGCTGTACCACCTGGGCGATTGAGCTGCCCCCGCCTGGGGCTGGTTTCCCCACCACCCAGGGAGTGGTCAGGCTGCTGAGGGCAGGTGGCATGTAAAGAAGCCCTCTCCCATCTGTCTGCCCCCAGTGCAGACCGTCCAGTCCACGGGGCTTCTCTGCTGCCCCCGCCCCAGCTCCTGGAGACAGGCCACTGTTGGCGTGCAGCAGGTCAAGAAGCCCCCGTTTGGTTTCCTAGTAACCAGGCGCTGACCACCGGCACCTGTCCTGGTGATGCTTCTCGTCCTCAAACCTGAGGCACAAGGCACAGGCAGGGTGTGCGCGCTTGTCCTTGGTTTTCCTGGGCGGGGGGCCGGCCCGCTCTGGGCAGCTGCCTTCTGACAGCAGGCGAGGCTCCAGCCGGGCCCAGGATCTCGGGCCGGAGGCAGGAGTTTGCGATCTCAGGCCACAGCCCGTGCTCGGGGCCCCTCCTGGAAGATTTCAGGCTGTTTCAAAGACAGAAATAATTGTGGGGATTTAGCATCTGTCAGTGCAGCTGACGGCAGGAAGCCACGGGGGAGAGACCAGGGGGAGAGACAGCGAGGAGACTGGGGGCGGGGCGGGGGGCAGCGGCCCCTCTGCCTCTGAGTGGCCGCTTTCCTGCTGTGGCCCACGGTCACTCCCTTACATCTGTGCTCTGGTGTTCTCAGGCAACTGGATGAGGAAGGGCAGCCCTGACACCAGGCAAGGCCACAGCTGGGTGGTGACCAGATGGGCTGGGTTCCTGGGCCCCCAACCCCTAGCGTCTGCATTTGAAAACTGCTGCTCTTAACACTGCTCACTGAGCACAGGCCTGTGCCCAATATCGTCTCAGTGAAGGAAGGTGCGTTTATTGAGCACCCACTGTGTGCTTGGCTGGTCATTCGCATTGTGGCTGATCCTCTTCTGACGCCCTTGCCAGCTGGGGAAGCCGAGGTCCAGTCTTCCTGCCCAGAGTTACCGAGCTAGACACCCATGGGCTGGGAGGTGGCTTGGATTTGCCGGATGGCAGAAACCTAGAGGGAGCGTGAAGTCCCCACCTCCTGGTCTGGAGGGGACGCAGACCCGCCAGCTCCTCCCGCTCCAGAGGAGCCCCACCCCCTCTGACTGCCACCAAAGCGGGCTGCCCAGGAGGCCAGGCGGAGTGTGATGGAGGTGCACCCTGGGATTCAGAGGCCCTCGGGCTCTGCAGGGTCTCGGGGCGTGGGCTGGGCGGGTCCAGCAGGGAGGCTTCAGCCTGGCCTCCTGCTCCCTGTGGGACTATGTGCAGGGCCCAGGGGGTGGGCTCCTTCTGTCGGGTCTTAGCTGGACTCTCTTCAAGCTGCTGTCTCATGAAAAATGGGAGCCAAGCTCCTTCCTGTCGCTGCTCTGCCCTCCCAGGAGACCCCAGACCCCCAGCCAAACTCCACGTGGAGCCCCCAGCCGAGCTCTGCCAGCTCCCTCTGCCGTGCCCAGGATGGTGAAGTGACCCACAGGTGACGCCCTTGCTAAGGAGCAAGAATGGTAGAAGGTCAGGGCCACCATTGGCCAGCGCCTGCACCCCACCTGGAACACAGCAGGACAGCTCCTGGGCCTCGTCCCTACCTGAGGGCCATCTTGGCACCAGGACCCAGCCCCGCTGCTGCCCGTCATTCTCCACCCCAGCCTGTGGGGGTCGCAGGGCCTTTGTCCACGCTGCTCTCGGACCGTAGGAGCCTGGCGAGCATAGCCTCAGGGCGGTGTGGGTTCACCCCATCCAGCTGCTGGGCTCATCTTATGGTTGCAGCTGAGCACTCTCCTGGCCATTCCCGGCCCATCCTGTCATCTGGAGCACGCGTGTGGTGAGGCCGCACGTTTCCAGGAAGCCACACAGACCTGTCTTTCTCAGTGTCCACGACCTTAGGTGAACTGTGGTCAGGGGATCTGGGAGGGATCTGGGAGGACCCTGCTGGCTCTTGGCAGCCCCGTCACACACTGCTTGGTTGAGGGAGGGGATACATCCTGAGGCTTCTGTCACTTGGAAGAGACCCTGGGGCCGGCTCCCTCCTGGCTGCGGGCAGCGCACATGGATGGTCAGCTCTGGTCAGTCCTGTGTGGGACTGTGAGACAAGGGGGCAGTGGGGACCAGGTCCTGCAGGAACCAGAGCTCCTTCTGGCATCCTCAGGGCACAGCAGTGAGCGTGTTGGGTGGCCACCCTGGGCTCTGCGTATGTGATTGTGGAGGCCCAGTGTCCCTTCTGTGTGGTATTGGGATGACCACCCTGGGTGTTCCCAGTGTCCCTGTCCCCATGCCTTGGCTCTATGGCACACAGCACACCCTGGCAGGAGCCCACGAACAGAAAGAAGGCTGCTCACCTCATGTGTCTGGGCAGTAGAGAAGAAAGGTTGGGTCCCGACACCCCCTTCAGGGCACACCCTGTGACCTATCTTCCTCCCACTGGGCTCTGCCCCCCAAGATTCCACCACCTCCAGCAGGGCCACAGGCTGGGCCAGACCTACAGCACAGGGGCCACGGAGGACACTGCGTATCTAAACCCCAACCTCAGGACAGGACTTGGGGCTGGCAGAGCTGCCGAGGGGTGGGCTGGGAGGCAGGGTCCACAGGCAGCAGCAGCCCCCAAGTCTGCATGTAAGACCCACCTGCACCCTTGGCCACGCCCTCTTCAGCCCCCGCTGCCCAGGATGACCCCAGGGCCAGGGAACGAGAGCGGCAGCACTCCAGCCCCGCCCACAGTGGGAGGTCAGTTTGAGGTTTGAGTCCAACTGAGCTCTCATTGGAAGAAACGGGAACCTCAGGATCCGGAGTCCCCACAGGACCTGTTCATAATGTCCAGTGTGAAAGGCACCAGCTTGCAGAGAAGCAGGAGGACGTGAGCTGGGCTCAGGAAGGAACCGGCCGTGGGAGCCAGCGCCGGAGGACCCAGCTGTTTCCATCGGCAGCTGCGCAGTCAGGGGTCTGCAGGGGACCGGAGCCAATAGGACGCGCAGAGGTGTGTCAGAGGGGTTTGTCACGGGGCTCTGCGTATGTGATTGTGGAGGCCAGAAAGTCCCACAGTGCGCGCCTGCAAGCTGCAGCTCCAGGAACGTTGCTGGCAGAGTCATTGAGAGCCTCGGGGCCTGAGGACCCAGGGCCAGGGATGTGACACCCAGGCCAAAGACCTGAGAACCTGTGGTGGGGGGACGTTGCAGGGTGAATCCAGAAGTCAAAGTCCTGAGAACCAGGAGTTCTGATGTCCCATGTCAGGAGAAGCTGTGTGTCCCCCTCCAGCAATGGAGCTGCTCTGCTGTCTCCCACCACTGTATTCTGCCTGGGTGGATCCCCATCAGTGGACCGGGTGACAGCCACCGTGTGTGTGAGGGCAGGTCTTCCTCCCGCCTCCATCTACCAGTCCAGTCGTTGGTGTCCATGATCGCTCTCACAGACACACCCAGAAGCACTGTCCCCGCAGCCCGGACAACTGGTACAGAAAGTGAACTGTCACAGCAGGTTATGGCCAGGGACTTTGGAGGGAAGTGCGTAACAGACGCAGGGAGCCACTGCAGAGGACCAGACGACCGAAAAGGGCCAAGTGGAAATCCCCAAACTGAAACCCAGGTCTGAAGTGAGCAGTCGCCAGATCAGCTTGATGGAGGTCACAGGTGGCAAAGCAAGAAGCCGTGGACCTTGAAGATGGTCCTACGGGAGCCACAGACTTTATACAACAGACGGGAGAGGGGACGACACATGGAGCCTCAGACACGGCAGACGGTTTCAAGCAGCCCAGCGTGTGTGATGGGAATCCTCGGAGAAGGGAAGGGTGGGGTAGGGAAGGAGAGGATGGGGGTGAGGGAGGCCAGGAGAACCATTAAAATTAACCAAAACTTGGTGGGTTTTGAAAATGGTAAAACTGTAAACTACTGCTGAGAGAAATGGAAGACCTACATAAGTGAATGTCTGTACTGTGTTCATGGGTTGGAGGTGGTGTCGTTAACACGTCATGATCCCCAAGGCTCCCCAGAAGCAGATGGCTCCATGATCATTTGGAATAGCACGTGGTCTTGTTAAAGGACAGG